GCCTCCTCAGGTGAGGCCGCCCCGTCACCTCTGGTGCCCGAGGGACGCTGGGAGCTGCTGACCACAATGTGGCCAGAATGAGCAGAAACCATCCTTTGTTGTTCTAAGCCATGGAGACGTTAGGGTTGTTTGTTACTCCAGCATTACTATCCCGAGTGATTCAGGGCAGAAAGAGAAAACAATGAGAGACCCCTCATCATTGGTGGTGAAGTCACGCTGTGGCCTGAGCAGCAGGAGGAACTCGGCTCCCTGTGCCGGCTTTAAAACACACACGCAGGAACCAGCCAGGTGACAAGGATGAGGCCGCCTTCCCTCACACAGAGGGATGTTTGGTCCTCAAGGCAAACCCAGCGCTGTCCCAACCTCCTGGCTTGGGAGCAGAATAGGCCTTGCGTTGTTGGCTGAACGGTGTCCTCCAAAAAGATACGTTCAAGTCCTAACACCTGGTGCTTAGAAATAGGTTTTTGCAGGTGCGATTAGTTAGATGAAAATGAGGTCCTACTAGGTTAGGGTGGGCCTTAAGCCAACGCCTGGCATCCTTAGAGGAAAAGAAAGCTGAAGACGAAGGCAGCGACTGCATTATGCTGCACAGCCGAGAAATGCTGACGATTGCCAGGAATCACCAGAAGCCGGAAGGGGCAGGAAGGACCCTCCCACACCGTGAACTGACTTCTGGCCTCCAGACTGTGAAAGACATTTGTAGCTTTTAGGCTTCTAATTGGTGGTACTGTTCCAGCAGCCCCAGGGAACTAAGATGCCCGGTACCCCAGTCTCCCTTCCAGAACATCTGTCGAAGGTCAGTCACCTCCATCCGGAAACATGGACAGCCAGCAGCTGCCGAGCACACACGTCGGGCCCAAAGCCCCTGCCGCTGCAGCCCTGCAGCCCGTCGTCAGCACCCTGCACTACTGAACAGTGTGCCGGCTGCTGCCTCCGTCAGGGCCACCTCCCAGGGAGTGCAGGTCACCGGGGACACTCCGGGGGCTGATTTCCAAACATGGTGGCCGTTTTTCTTTTTTGAAAGAGAAGTTGGCTACTTTTATAACAAGTGATGAGATCATTCTCCTTGTTTCAGCAGTCACTGAATGGGCATGTTTCATGAAGATTCACTGACTGGGGATAAGGAAGGATTAGCCCGGACGACTGGGGACAGAATGGGAGCCACTCCCCGCCCAGGCTCTGCAGGGTCCAGATTCCGCTGTCCTCCCCTCACCCTCTCTGTACAGCTTTCAGAGGCTGCCTCAGGGCTCACACACCTGTCAACTGTACCCTTCAGAGCACTGGGGTCACAAACGGCTAAACATGAACATCTGACCCCTGCTCACTCAGAAACACCAGACCACGCACCCTGCCAGTAGCTCTCCAGTTGACAACCTGACCCACCCCTGCCAAGACCCTCCATGACTTCCTCTAGTCTCAAAAGCTCCATAATTCTTTCCCCGAGGCCCCCCTGCTGAGATGTCCCAGGACCTGGAATGCCATCTCTCTCTGGCTGCAGCAAGCGATAAACCTGGCTCTGTTGCCTGCAGGTGGGGCCCAAGGCCCAGCTCGAGCAACCAGCGGTCTCCACCATGGTCCCTGGGCCCGCTGCTGGGTGGTGGGCAACTGTGAGGTGTGTGCTAGGTAGTTGGTGACGGGACTTGGAAATGAGAAAGGAGGAGGCTGGCTCGGGAGAACTGTGCGAAGCCTTGCAGGACACCTCACACACGTGAATGTCAGAGGGAGGCGTGTGCGCACCTGGCTGTGTGTAGGGACCCACCGCTGCTTACTCACGTTCTCTCTCGCTCCCTCTCAGGCCTCTCTTTTTGTTAATCCTCACCTGAGGATATTTTTCCATGGATTTTTTTTTAGAGAGAGTGGAAAGGAAGGGGGAGAGACCGAGAGAGAGAAACATCAATGTGACAGAGACACGTCAATTGGTTGCCTCCTGCACGTGCCCTGACCTGGGGCCAGGGATTGAGCCTGTCACCGAGGGACATGCTCTTGGTCGGAATCGAACCTGAGAGCTTTCAGTCCGTGGGCCGACGCTCTAACCACTGCACAACCGGCTAGGGCTCTCAGTTCTCTCTTACCTCCTCTCCTTTGCTTCCACCCATGTCTGGGCAATTCTTGAATTACTTGAGCAGAATGACACACATTCCCATCTGTGCTGTTTCCTTGTTTGGCCTCTACCACTGCAAGGCTTCAACGTTAAAAAGTCCTTTTCATTCTTTCACCTGAGGCCCACCATTTTCCATATGGCCGGAGGAACAGAGCAGCTCCCCTTTAATATTGAATACCTGAATGATTTCATGACAACCGAGTGAGGGCCTGCCATGTGCTCGATCCTCGCAGGGACACAGCCTTGAACGAGACAGAATGTCCTTGTGCTGTTTCCAGACAGTGAGGGAGGGCAACATGCGACAGGGGCGTAGGGCTGCTGAGCCCAGGAGAGGGAGGGAGAGGGTCCTTGCCTGATATTCATGACAGCTGCCCGACAGCAGAGGACGGGGGTGAGGCCTGGAGGCCAACATGCGACTGGGCTGTGGGCACCTGCTGTCCTGAAGCCCCATTTCCCAATCCTGTGACTTGGCCCTGCTGATCTGTGGGTGGCCCAGGAGGCCCTGTCATGGTCCTGAATGTAGCCACACGGCCTCCTTACAGCGACAGTGTTCTTGCAGAGACATCACCGGGCACCAGCAGTGTCTTCCTGGCTGAGTATCTCCCAGGTCTCCCCATTCCTCACAGGCTCCCCGTTCCCTGTCTTGCCTTGTGGCCCCCAGATGGAGGGTCCTGCACATCCCACTTTAAAAGTCAAGGTCACTTTTTCCCCTTTCCTTTTCCTGGTACAAATCTAGCTGTAGGATGTGTCCCAAAGAACACAGGGCCTGCAGAACTGCTGGCAGCCAGAGCCATGGGCCAGGAGGCAGGCCTCGGCCCCATCACCTCCCCAGCTCCTGAGAACACAGAACCCTTCACGGCAGCACAAGGACAGGCATTCAGCCCCCGAGACAATCAGGAATTCACTGGGAGCAGGTTTGCCTTCGTCGTGGACTGAAATGGCTGTTTTATGTGCGTTTGGCTGAAATAAGGGGCACTTCTGTTGACTTGGGCTTACCTAACTAAGTTCAGCTGCAGGGGGAAGTTTAGGTTGGCGCCCAGTCCGCAGGCACATGGAAAGCTGAAAGGAGCTGGTGTGTCAGCAGCCGTGGGGCTGAATCACAAATTTGTTCAGGAAGTCCAAGATTAAAGTCCAGTTTATATCATTATATAACAGAGATGCCCGCCAAGCAACATATCCAGGCAAATAAATTTGAAATATTTTTTAATACAGCTGGCATACAAAACTCATTTAAGACTTATGTGAGTGATAAATAAGGCCACTTCTGTGGAACCTCTTAAGAAGGTAGTTTAAAAGTTTGGAGCTGAGTGAATGTCCCCAAACCCCGGAGTGAGGAGCATCCTGCCAGGAGGATGAGCCCCGCCAGCCAGGCAGGCAGGGGGCTGAGAGAAAGGACCCCAGAATGGCACCCGTCCATCTCCCTACCAGCCACAAGCAAATGTTTCCAAAGTGCGGATATAAATTTAGAAAAGAAGGTATTGTGATGTCAAACAATACCTAGAGTGCGCCAGGTTTCCACTTCTGGGCCAGTGCCTGAGGATCTCTGAAAATGCACTTCACAAATCACGGGAGCACTCTGGCAAAACCGGCTACAGTCATTTTTTCAGAACTCTGGGAATTAAGTTCAAACAGATGAATTCAAAGAGAATTTACTCAAGAAAAACAGCTGAGTCGTAGTAAATGCCTGGTGGCCATGACTTGCCCCAATCTCACCCCCCTCCCCAGCTCACAACGACAGTAACTGTCAAAGCCACCACCCAGGGGTCACCAGTGAGTGGAAAAGGTTTGGAGCTCCTCAAAAGCCCCCAAACGGTTGCACATTAAAAATTCCTCACCTGAGGGTATTTTTCCTTTGATTTTTTTTTTTTTGAGAGTGGGAGGGGGAGAGAGAAACATTCATGTGAGAGAGACACATCCATTGGTTGTCTCCTGCACCCGCCCCAACCAGGGCTGGGATAGAACCTGCAACCCAGGTGTGTGCCCTTGACTGGGAATCGAACCGCGTGAGCCACTTGGCCAGGGCCCAGTCACTTTTGATCTATGTGACAGCTCACAAGAAGCTATATTCTCAAGGCATCTCATCTGAACAGACTGTCGTGATTAAAAACCTTCTGGGCTCCTTAGGGAAATGGCTGATTTGAAGGCTGAGGTGGGAATGTACAAAGTGAGCCGGAGCTCCTCAGGCAAGTCCATCCAGCTAGCTGGCAGAATTCAGTAACATGAAGACTGAAGTTCCCAGGGCTGGCACAGCAGGGCAGCTTCCAGGCTGGCAGGCCCTCCCTCTGCTTCTCGTCTTTGATTTCAGGAGGTGCCCAGTGTCTTTTAAAGGTTCATCTAATCAGTTGAGACCCACCCAGGAACATCTCCTTTTTGTTAAACTCAAAACCAACTGACCCAAGACCTTAATTAAATCAAAGGTATAACTGCTTCATCTTTATCTGTATCATAAACTAGTCCTGGGAGTGAAATCCCTCACACTCACAGAAATGCCCACTCAGAGGGTTCGAGTCACCAGGCAAATCTTGGGAGCCATCTGAGAATTCTGCCTTCCACAGCCTGGCTGGGTGGCTCAGCTGGTTGGAGCATCATCCTGCTACCCCAAGGTTACAGGTTTGGTCCCCATTCAGGGCACATACAAGAATCAACCAATGAATGCATAAATAAGTGAACAACAAGTCATCGGCTCTCTCTCTTTCAACCAATGAATGCATAAATAAGTGGAACAACAAGTCATCGGCTCTCTCTCTCCCCCCGCTTCCTCTAGCTCTCTACAAAAAAAAAAAAAATCTACCTATCTGTCAATCAATCAAGAACTCTGCCTACACAAAGGGGGCAGGGGAAGGGACAGAAACCACTCTTTCATAAAAAACGTCTGTTTTCATAATTTATTAATCCAAAATAAATTTCATAACAAATTTTATTTCACAGTAAACTTTTGACTATATACATGTACAACTTCAGTTTAAAATTACATTCAAATCTAAACATGTCACCAACCTAACAAGAGCCATTATTCATGTACTAATAAAAATAAACTGACAATTAAAATGTGACATTATACCAACTGAGAAAGACACTCCAACCTTAGAGATGTTAACTACAAACACGTACCTCAGAATTAGTGACATAATAACCAAAAATGTTTACTTCCCCCACATTTTTAAATGATGTAAAGGAGTGCTGCACATTTCACAGGAACCAACACCACTTTGAGGTGAGCTGGGCAGCTTGTCCCTCCCTAGTCAACATGCACATTCTCTCCTCTCCTCAGCCCTCTAAATAGGTCCTTTCCTTGCAGATGTCGTGTTTCCTCCTTTCCCACACCGGCTTCGTGCTGTGTGCTGTCAACAGGAGCCGAGGCAGTGAACGCAGCCTTCGGTGGAGAGGGGTGAGCAGAAAGGTGGACTCGGACAATGAATGTAGGTTTGATTCTTGGCTCATATTTATCACCTTGCCTTTGGCTGCAGATAACAGAGAACTCAAATCAAAATGGCTCAAACAGTAAAGAATAAAAAGAAACTGTACATATATAATTTCACGTGGTATATGTAACATGCAGGCTGAAGGCCGGCTCTCTCCTCGCTAAGGCTGCTGAATTCCATGGCTCAGCTACCGAGGACCAGCTTCTTCCCAGGTTTCTCCTGTCAACCTCAGCTGGTTTGCTAGCTCCCCCTGAAGTCCTGAGACAGCTGCATCCGCTCTGGGTGTCATATTCAGACATGGCAACGTCTAGCCTCTTCCTGTGTATCTCAAGAGATGATCACTTTCCCAGAAGTGTACCAGAGGATCTGAATCCCTATTTCAAGCCTGAACCAACTGCTGGCAAAGAGTGGCACTTCTAATATTTGTTGAGGCCAGTGTTTTTCAACCTTGGCTGTGCTTCAGAATCACCTGGAAGCTACTGAAAATCTCATGTTCACACCCCAGCCCCCAGCCCCAAATCAGAATTTCTGGGAGTGTGCCCCAGGCACCACATCTTTTACAAAGCTTCCTAGCTGATCCCAATGTGACGCCAAGGTGGAAATCACAACTCTAGACCCTTGTTGCTACACCCTAAGGGTTGGGGCCAGGGCCTGTCATGCACAAAGCACAGATCAGCCATGGACAAGAAGGGACACCTCAGCGAAACTGGAATTCTGTTAGGAAGGGAAGCATACATGCGTGATGTTCACAACTAAGAACAGGAGCTAGGTGGCCTTCTTACAGACACGGTTTCCTCATCTGTGAAGAGCAAAGCTGGATTTCCCCCCATAATCCCTGTGATGGAGCTGTGACAGGTATTAAGGAGGACTTCATGTGTATGATCCTAGCATTTCTTCAGCAGGTGCTTACCCTGAGATACTCTGATCCCACTAAACCCCAGTGTGGTGTTGGTGCTTCTAACCGGCATTCTGAGCCCCTATTATTCAGACCAGATCACCCAATCACAGCATTTTGACCTCTACAAGCAATTTTGTAAGAAATCCACAACCATAACCCCCTAATGGTTATGCTTATCAGAAACTAGTCAGTGAACCGAGACAACTGTGCAGGAAGTGAGGGACAAGTCACTTAACATCTCTGGTCGCAATTCCTTCAGCTCTACAACTGGATCAAGTCAAAACACCAAAAAGCTACATACTTGATTTATCTTACAAACTGACAAAAGTTGAGTTTTACTGTTGTGGCATTTAGTAAGTGACCACAAAAATTTATATGAAACCTGTCACACAGGATCTTAGAAATTAAAATGCTGTCCATTCTATTCAGTGAATTCCATAATGAAGACCTACATAAGAACTGTTTTTATGAAATTACAATTAAGAGAGGTTTTGCATCTACCTTTCTGATAATAAAAGATAAATAGATAAACTATTCATCCTTTTTGTTTTGGCTCTAAAAAAGAGCAGATATAAATTTAATACAGCCATGATAACCATGCTGGCCACACACGTGTAAATCCATATACAGCTTTTCCCTTTCAGCTTTCTTACTTATATTTCCTCTGGTCCTCATTTTTTTTAAAATATATTTTATTGATTTTTTACAGAGAGGAAGGGAGAGGGATAGAGAGTTAGAAACATCGATGAGAGAGAAACATCGATCAGCTGCCTCCTACACACTCCCTACAGGGGATGTGCCTGCAACCAAGGTACATGCCCTTGACCAGAATCGAACCTGGGACCCTTGAGTCCGCAGGCCGACGCTCTATCCACTGAGCCAAACCGGTTAGGGCATCTGGTCCTCATTCTTTAACCAACTATGGTTTCATTATACATGGGCTTGTTTGGAGCTGCAGGGGTCAGTGAGATTTAGTTCCCAGGAGGAAACCAAGGGGAGCAGAGTGGAGCAAACGGCAGCAGGAACTAAAGCTCGGTAGGCTGAGATGGCCAGACTACAGAGAACGTAAAACCAGGCAGACAAGCAGCTCCCAACTCAGGGCACTACACAGTGGAGGCGCAGGTGAAGCAGTGCACTGGGAAATATGCCCTCTAAGGAAAAGAAAGTGGAAATGGAGGCAGATCGGTTGGAAAGGGCTGCAATAATACAGCTATAAGAAAAGCTAAAAATTATATGATGGTCAAATGAATATTAAAAATATATGCAAGGGTAAAACATGGTGATAGATGGAGATTTGACTTTGGGTGTTAAACACACAATGCAATATAGAGATGATGTACTATAGGATTGTACACTTGAAACCTACGTAATTTTATTAACCAATGTCATCTCAATAAATTTAATTTGAAAATGAAAGTATTAGAAAAAATTTTTAAATAAAGTTTTCTATAAAACAAATAAATAAATGCAAACAAATTTCCAGTTGCAATGCAGAATCTGAAACCACATCAAGGAATGATCTACCCAGTGGTCGGCAAACTGCGGCTCGCGAGCCACATGCGCCTCTTTATCCCCTTGAGTGTGGCTCTTCCACAAAATACCGACTTCTGCACATGGGCCACGAAGTTTCAATTGCACTCTACGTGCGCGCCCGCACGTGGTATTTTGTGGAAGAGCCACACTCAAGGGGCCAAAGAGCCGCATGTGGCTCGCGAGTCGCAGTTTGCCAGCCACTGATCTACACTGTTACATGAAAATACATTAGTCTGTATTACAGGTTGGATGGGTGTTTTGCCCATGCATAATTTTGTGATGTCATGCATTGCTTATTTGGAAAATGTTAGTTTACTAATTTATGCAGAGCTTTCAAATGTTCTACTATACAGTATTTTAAAAATCACATTCTTTAATATCACCAACCAACTTCACCAAAAGAATGTTTAAGTACAGAAAAGCTTTCAAGCTCAGAGGCAGATAAAATGTTCTGATATTGTCCTTTGTGCTCAAAAGCCAGAATCTTACCATTGAAAACGAATATTTTCCGTTGTTTTCCTTGAAGTGACAGGGTCACTCCATTCATTTGTGGAAAAGCGCCTGCCAAACCGCCACATCTGAAGAAACCAGTTGGCCCCCACAGTTGTTCTTTGAAGTAAAGAGTATTCATAAAGACACGCAGCTGATCCAGCTTGAACTCAGATAATAGCACGAGTGCTCTTCCTCAAAATACCACTTAGTGTGGAAATGTAAATACGTGATAATATCTTTCCATTTTGCTAGACATGATGATGAAAGACGAGAACTCAAGAACTGAAGTTTAATAGCATGAATACTTTTTACTGCCTCATCCAGGGCATTCATAAATGAAACTGGCGCCTGATGCAGATGTTTTCAGAGAACCCTCTTCAACTTTTAGAAACTAGACAGTCCCATTGGACCTTTCTAGTGGAAATGCCTCTTCTGTTTGCCCATTAAGTACGATGCTGACTTTCTTACTAAGTGTAACATTATATCATGTTAAGAAAACATCCATCCAATGATCTCATATGTAGAAAATTTACTTAAAGATTCCACAGAAAAGATAGAATAAACAAATTCAACAAAATAGTAGAATACACAGTCAACAAACAAGTATCTGTAACATTGCTATACAATGATGGTAAACAATCTGAAAAGGAAATTAAGAAAATAATTCCATTTACTATATCTCAAAAGAATTAAAATACTTAGGAATTAACTTGACCAAAAGGGGAAAAGCTGTACAGTGAAAACTCTGAAACATTGCTGAAAGAATTTAAAGAAGAAATAAAAAATGGAAAGACCCCCGGTTCATGAGTTAAAAGACTTAATATTATTAAGTTGTCAATATTATACAGTGACCTACAGATTCAATGTAATCCCTACCAAAATCACAATGACACTTTTTTTTTGCAGAGAGAGAGAAATCTACCCTAAAATTTGTATGAAATCTTAAGGGGTCCCAATTAGCCAAAACAAAGTTGAAAAAGAACAAAGACCAATGGAATAGAATACAGAGCCTAGAAATAAACTCTCACATATTTCAACAAGAAGCCAAGATCATTCAATGAGGAAAGGACAGTGCTTTCAACAAATGGTGCTGGGAAAACTGGATATCCATATGCAAAACAATGAGGTTTTGGCCCTTACCTAATACCATATACAAAATTAACAAAAAATGGATCAAAGACCTAAACATAAGAGCTAGAGCTACAAAACTCTTACAAGAAAATATAGGATAAAAGCTTAATGACACTGGATTTGCAGTGATTTCTTAAATATGACACCAAAGGCACAGAAAGTAAAAACAAACAAATTGGTCTTCATAAAAATTTTTAAATCTTATGCATCAAAGGACACTATCAACAGAATGAAGAGGCAACCCACAGAATGGGAGAAAATATTTGCAAATGATATATATCGTAAGTGATTAGTATCTAATATCCAGAATATAGAGAATTCCTAAAACTTAACTATAAAAACAAACACCCAATTCAAAATTGGGCAAAGAACTTCAATAGACATTTCTCTGAAGAAGATAAACACATGGCCAATAAGCACATGAAAAGATGCTCAACATCACTGATCATTAAGGAAATGCCAATAAAAACTACAAGATACCACCTCCAAAAAACAAAAACAAACAAACAAAATAAGTGTTGGTGTGGATATGGAGAAATTGGAATCCTGTGTACTCCTGCTGGGAATGTAAAGTGGTACAGCTGCTGGGGAAAACAGTATGGTGGTTCCTCAAAAAATTAAAAATAGAATTACCATATGATCTAGCAATTCTACTTCTGGATATATATTCAGAATTGAAAATATGGTTTCAAAAGATATTTGTATACCCATGTCCATAACAGCATCATTCACAATAGTTAAAACATGAAAGCAACTTAAGTGACCATCAACAGATGAATGAATGAGTAAAATGTGGTATATACATACAATGGAATATTATTCAGCCTTACCATTAAATAAAGTAAATGATTAAGCTGCACTTCTTCCTTTCTCCCTACAGCCATAGCCACACTCTTTTTCGTGTAATATAGCAGCTCCTCCCACACAGAAAGTATAAAAAAAAAGAATGTACTTCCTACTCCTTGACTTTGGAGTTGGACATGTGACTGACTTTGGCCAACGGTTGTATGTAAATGTGATGCAAACAGGACCTCTTGAGCTGCTAGGAAAAGAACATGCCCAGCCAGCCTACTGGTCACAGGAAGACAAATGTGGGGCAGAGCCATCCCAGTGGACCTGCTACATAAGTACAGCCAACCCAACCATCTGCAGCTGCAGGAAAAAGAAATTTTTATTTTTACCTGGTATGGAGAGTTTGTGGTAGTTTGTTAACATCATTATTGTGGCAAATGTTAACTGATATAATTTCAGTTCAAGGAATCTATTTATATAAAAACCCTGGGTGTAACATCATGACCACGACCGAGGCTCAACCAACCGGAAGGAAGTCAGTCCTGCAGGGGTTGTCTTGGCAACGGCTGTGCCCTCCCCGAGCTGTTTCCCAGAGCTGTTTCCCGTAAGGGCGAGGTTTGAAGCAGGAGCTGGCCCTCGGAGTGTGGAGGCAGATCTTTATAAAGTTTTAATACATTATATTAGAGGTCGTGGTAGTACTGTTTTACCCACAGCGTCTACAGGAATTGCTGCAAATTTACTTCTCGGTGGAAGCACCTTTCATTCCCAATATAAATTACCCATTCCACTAAATGAAACTTCAATTTCTAGACTCGATATAAACAGTGAAGTTGCTAAAACTATTAAAAAGGCCCAACTTCTCATTATTGATGAATGCACCATGGCATCCAGTCATGCTATAAACGCCATAGACAGATTACTAAGAGAAATTTGAATGTTGT